GGGAAGAATCAATTCGCCACTTCTCATTGGTCAAGTCAAGGCCCCGTTCACACTAGTGCAATTTGTCACGCGCATGCCAACCCGCTACAATGCACGACAATGAAAATGACATTATTATCTATGCAACATGATGCATGCTGCAAGGGTTAACTGCTTATTTTTCTCTAGGGGTCGGAAAAAAGACAATATAGTCACCTGACCCTCAGTCCTGCAACGGTGAGCGCTCACCTCTCTCCCCCTCCGCTTTGGCTGTGGTACGTCTATTGGAGTCCTCACATCTAATATAAATGAATGGACCTGCATTAGATGTAATGATTGCAGCAGGACTTAGACTGCCGAAGCCTGGGGAAGAAGAGGCTGTGGGGAGCTGTCTAGCAGCCAGGCCAGACAGAGGATCAGGTGAGTATATTTTCTTTATTTGAGCCCTTAGAGAAAGATGAGCAGTTAACCCTTACAGTGCGGGGGTTAGGCCACGGCAAGAGATAACTTTTTCCATTCCTGGAGCTTCCCTTTAAGCTGGCCATGAACCAGTAGAATTTCCTTTTGTTTTTAAAAGGTTTATGCAATCTTGTAATAGTTGATGGGGTCAAATCAACGCTCGTTTTCGACTGCGATGATGGGGAAAAAAAAGATTTTTTTTTCTCGAACGCGTGAAAATCTAACGGCGAATGTGGTTTTAGTTTGAGAAACCCCATTCGTTTCCAAAATCAGATATTAAAATCAAATGAAATCTCAATCTACTTTTGTTGAATCTTTAGCGGTGACGCCATCGAGCTCTTTCGTATGAGCGCTGGTATGAAAATCTAGCAAGGTGCAACCAGCTGAGGAGGAAGCCTTGGCTGGGGAAGGCTGATGGAGCAGAATGGGCGCTGCACAGGTTAACAGATCCCACGCAGGACATTTAAATGCCATGTGCAAGCTTTGTGTATATAAACAAGGGAGGTGGGCTGGAGCACTGGACTGGCTGTGCCTGCGAAGACGATGACGGATCGAGCTGGGCTTAGATCTGGGGATATGTCTGTGTTGGCGGATGTCGCCCATGGTGACAGTGACCTGATTTATTGTCTCGGAGGGGACAGCCTTGTGCTCGGGGCCTGTGTATGTCTCCACGATCAGCTCGTTTCCTCCCATAGAGGAAGCTGAAAGTTGTTGCACAGGCAGCCAGCAGGGACACTGAGAGCTGCACGTTTACACCAAGTGCTAGCAAGAGGAAAATAATAACAAAGCCATGCAGACCTCAATCTGCCCCCACCCCCGCATGTGCCATCTGCACAATAGGCAACGATCGCCCATCTGTACGGTGATAGCACCGGGCAACTCTTGTCAAGAGCCTTGCTGATCAACCCCATCTACCACCCCCACACACCCCCCCCAATACTTCTACATTGTACACCACCCTCCCTCCCC